AGTCCTTTGGAATAAACAACCCTATGTAGTCATGGTTTGCTACATTCCTAACAGAACGTAAACAGATGGTAAAGTACAACGACTGTCTCTCGTCACCTAGACCAATCGCCAGTGGAGTCATCCAGGGAAGCGTATTAGGTCCACTTTTGTTTCCTATATATAAACGATATGTGTAACACCACAGAATTTGCACAATTGATTGGTCGCTGGGTAGTGATCAGTGTCATGCTTGTCTAGTCCTTATTAGTGAAGATCGAATGCTACCGATCATGTTGCAATGTGGCCACCAGTCTAGGTGACTCAACACTGCGGGCACTATGTATTGAGATTTTAGATGGTATTTGGAGGTAGTCAACAGGACTACCTATTGACTAGAGTTCTTTGAAATTAGTGACATTTTTAACAGATAAAGAATCCTGATATACATATTTACTTTTGAGTTTTTGTATTAACAATTTCACTACTTGCTGAGATTATGATTTGAAGAAAGATAAAATTGATGAATAACTAATGAAACTATTGAAAACAACAAATTTTTTCGTTTTTATGCCAGAAGTTTTTAAGGATATGTGATATTTCGAAATATTTATGTGGAAATTTATTAGGTTCTAAGTAAATCATACAACTGTATTTGTTTATTTAGTAGACTATTAGTCTGTACAAGATTCTTATTTGAATTCCTAACAAGTTGTTGTACATGAAAATGAAGTTGACGTATTTCAGTGGTATACTATTAGTTTGATGACACGTGGATAAATAAAGTCATTGTATGATAGTACGATTGAAAATACCGTATAAATATAGGATTTTCTGTGGAAATTGAATGGATTATTATAACCATTTATCACATTGATTTCTCATTATGATCATTTTATCCCTGCCTTCGTAAAGCCCAGTCTTTTCTAGAATACTCAAAAACGTTAATCTTCTTTTTTTTATGAATGTCCCTTCAGGGTGATAAAAATTGTTACGAATTATTTCTTTTCTTCACATTTACTTTTTAGTCTCGAATAGACTTTTAAATTCATGCCTGTAAAGCACATTGATGAACTAAGTGTTCATTTATTCATGTTGTTTGCTACTTGTGAAAACTATTGACAATGCAAAAAATACAACTTTTAGTTTGCAAGTATTATCATAGTGATATTGATTAAAAAGGTTATTTTGAACTAATTATAAAAATGTTACATTATGTGGTGACTGAAGGTAATCGACAAGCGACTCTGAACCAAGGTCTTTGCATTGTGTATAAAGGCACTTGTAATCCATTTAACACAATTATAATGCATATCCTTCAAATGCTAGCACCAGTTCGCGTGCAGATAAAACAACATCAGATTTAATCTCCTTCTCAATCTCAATCACCTCATATCCACCAAGTCAATGATCATAATAACTGCAAGATGACCAATTTCTTTCAGAATGTATATTCTCTTGTTTATCATATTTTCACAAGTTACATTAGTCTGACTCTATCATTTTGTTCTTTTACATTGAAGCACTAAATCTTGCGCTAATGCAATTCATTGTCTCTGAAATGATTTTCATTTATTTTATCCATTAAAAAATCTGTTGTACAACTAACATGGTTACTAGGCACTCATTACTTCACTGACGTTTTCGAAAACTAGTTTATAAATAACTTCACAAAAATTATGATTTAATTATGTCTTTGCTAGATGTGGTCCCATTCAACAACGATGGATTCTCAGAAGTGAACATGATTGCTGACTTGGTGTATTGAGATCTGCAGCATCGATTCAGGGACACTTCTCCTGACCCAGATATGCGTCATTCTACAATACTATGAGAAGTGGTTTTAATCTTGTTGACTCTTGTTGGTATGGTGTTTTCAAATTCGCTAAGCCGAGGCACCTTTCCCGATAATTGTAAGCTGGTTCACATTGATCCGTCTTTAGATGGAGGCAGACGCAGCGAACCTTCGGGCTACATGCCGGTAGCACTTCTCCTAACACCCTCAAAAGTTATAGAGTCACGGATATACTATGGTCAACATGATCACTTAATACCCATAAATTTCTTTTGATTTCTGGAGCGCGGTTTCAGACAGGGTAATGACTTGCTAACCACATTTAACTGATGGCAAACCATCCTTGACCCGAAGGAGAAGGTCGATATCATATGCTTTGGTTTCCCAAAAAGCTTTTGATACGATTAGTCATTTATGTTCTACCTAGAAGCTCAAACGATTTGGCATCAAGTCACCATTAATTTATTGGCTTATTTCATATCTAAATAATCGACTGTTTAGGGTAAGATTAAACCTCATTTTTTCTCGGGCTACAAATGTCTTAATGAGGTTCCCGAGAATGCAGTACTCAGAACCCTTCTTTTATGATTTACATAAATAAACTTCCTCAGCAAGTGTCGCCAGATTTATTACTTTTTGCTGATGATGTGAGACTCTGGACATCAGTTTTCAATCGAGGTAGTAAACTCGTATTTCAGGAGGATCTGACTCCACTTAAAAGTTGGACATATGACGACGAACTTCCTTTCAGCACTTCAAAGTGTAAAGTAGTCCATCTGAAATATGTTGTAGGCTACGAATACAACTTAGATAACAACCCTCGTGAGGCATCACAAGTTGAAAAATATCTAGGAGTGTTGGTAACTTATGATCTGAGGTCTTACCCCAACTGCAGCACAAGCGCCTTCAAAGAAAATCTTGAACTGATGACGTTGAAGAGCATTTTTGGCTATGTCGACAGAACTTTCCGCACAATCTTCAACAGTTTTATTCAACCCTATTTAGAAAATGAAAATATTATGTTTCCTCACTCACTCCAGAAGGATAAGGACACACTGGAGCGTGCTCAGAGGCGAGACACAAAATCATTTTGAGGACTCATATTCAAACCTTATGAAGGGCGCCTTAACTCACTAAATCTTCACTTATTAGAGTACAGGCATCTTATAGGTTGCCTTTTAATGACTAACATTGTTCTAAACACATCTGAGTATCCCCTATAATACCCACTTAAGCTTAGCCACAACACAAACATTAGGAATAACATCCAGAAGCTGGAGACACAATACAGCTGATTGAACTATAGGCACAGAATCTAAAACAAAGTTCAAATGGTTCAAATGGTCGTGGACGGAATAGAAGAAGTTTTCGCTTAACAGGATTCCGTGTCTAGTAGCAGGGGATCACCAAATCCTCCAGGCAGGAACCTAGGTATGTTAACAATAAAAGATGAAAAGAAATTAGTAAATCATAGTGTGATACTATCCTTAGTCCTTAAGAATCGATCAAGTTGCCTCTTGAAGGACTCCTGGGAAGTCGCTTGGACTAGCTCGCTCGGCAGCGCATTCCAGCATTCGACAACTCTTAAGGAGTAGAAGTTATGTCTATAGTCCGTTCTGCTATGTTGTGTCTCCAGTTTTTGGGTGTTACCTCCTAGGTTAGTGTTGGAACTAAGCTTAAGTAGGTGTTTGAGGGGATGTCCAGAAGTGGTAAGGATACTATAAGCCATCAGAAGGTCACCTCTAAGACGACTATACTCTAATGGGTAAAGGTTAAGTGAATGGAGGCACTCTTCGTGAGGTTTAAATGAGTCCTATAACTGATTTCGTGGCTCGCCGTTGGATACGCTCCAGGGTGTCCTTATCCTTTTGGAATGAGGGGGAAATACTATGTTTCCATACTCTAAATGGCGACGGATAAAATTATTGGAGATTATATAGAAAGTTCTTCCGTCAAACTGGCCAAAATGCGCTCCAATGATACCATTGCAAGGTTTGCTCGAAAGGCATTTTTGTCACAGTTAGCGTAAGACTTTAAATCATAGGGCACCAGGACTCCTAAATCATTTTCGACTTGGGATACTACTAGAGAGGAGTTACCTAAGTTATAACTGTAGTCTGCGACATGTCGCAGATGGACTACTTAACACTTTGAAGTGTTAAAGGTAAGTCCGTTATCGTCTGCCCAACTTTGAAGTCGAGTCAGATCCTCCTGAAGTACCTGTATATCGTCTTGGTTGCGTATCTCTCTCCAAAGTTGTTACAACACAATACCAGAAGTTAAAACTACGCATCCAAAACATACTAATGAGAAGGGAAATAAAACAGAGAAATATCTATCTCTAATCATTTGAGCTCAAACTATCGTCTTAGCTTTGAAAATATAGAGGCGGTCATTATATGTAAGTCGTAACTGGTCTAGGTCATGAATGTTGTTAAGATAAATGGCGTGAAGGTTTACAATCTAACAGCGAATCGTTCCCTTCCAGAATGGGCCTCGAAGTCTGAAAAGCGTAAAAGGAAGTCAGATATGGAATTAAGTCGGCGCATTGAACTTATTCAGGAATTAGAAATGCCCGATTCACCACTTATTTAACTTGCTCACCAGATGGTCAGTACTTGTTCGCTCTAGGACGTTATAAACCTAGAGTCAAATGTTACGAACTGTCAAATCTTTCAATGAAGTTCGATCGATGTCTTGACTGTATGCCATATAAAATGGTGTGTCTTAGTGACAACTACTCCAAGTTTGCCTTACTGGAGGAAGAAAGATGGGTTGAAATTCATGCTGCTGGGGGACACCACTTCAAGTTTAGAGTTCCGAAACAAGGTGTGGATTTGGATTATTGTCCTTACACGTGTGATCTTTTGTTGCCTCATCTCGCAATCATATATACCGAATGGATTTGTCCGAAGGTCGTTTCAAAACATCTCTAGTCTCCCAACGTTTAGAAAACTCTAGTCATGGATTAACGGTATGTAGTTTGAGAGAAATTATGGTTTGTTACTTGGTGCGTCGACAATAGGGTGTGTTGATGGTTGGGATACTAGAACTTCTGAGCATGTATTTGGTCTGAACGTATGTGAATACGCGCCTACACCAGAAGATATCCAGAATAATGGCGATCAACTGCTGTAACTTGCCTGTCATTTAAAGACTCGCTCAACGTCGCAGTAGGCACGGGAGACGGGATGGTATACATATACGACCTTCGTCAAAATCGTAAGCCATGGCACGTCCGGGACACAGAATACAGGGAGCCTATCAATCCATTCATTTTCATGATGACAAAGTGTTAGCAGCCCTGCGCTACTGCTGTAAAATATGGTCAATGGATACTGGCAAGATATTTGTTGGTTTCAATATTGGTCCTTCAGATTGTAATTCTATGTATCACTTTCCTAACAGTGGATTACTCATGTTTGCATCAGAGTCTCCCAAGATTTCTACCTACTTTATCCCACTGCTTGGAGAGGCACCTTTCTGGTGCAGTTATTTAGACAGTCTTGTGGTCGAATGCGAACCAGATGTTACAACTATGTATGACGGTTATAAATTCATCACTCGTCAACAGTTAGCAGATTTGGGAATGTCAGAGCTCATTGGAACTCAATTTTTGAGAGCTTACATGCATGGATATTTCATTTCTGCAAATCTGTACAACAAAATACAAGATCATCTGGGGATTAATCAGAAATCCCTTACCCAAACAGTCAAGCTTAACTATCCTGACAACGTACCTAAAGCTTCATCGCGTTCTGAAAATATAATTGCAGAGTTTAACGAAGCCTCAGCCGACCAGCGCTTTTCCAAACTCTCAGATAATCCTAAGCTTACATACAGTACTGTAGATGGCGATTCAGATCTCATACAAATTCATCAAGCAAGATTGGAAAAGAAGCGCAGGCGTAAAGAACTGCGGAAAGAACGAGCTGCTCGAACACAGGCTTTGGTTAATAAAGCCTCTGATGTGCATGTATAAACCTCAATGTTTTGTATGTAATTGTGTAAATAATCTCTGCAATAAGTTATGTTCTCAAAAATTTTCCGTGTTATTAATTGTATTTAGTTCGCCTCATATATTTTTCAGCATGAATCGAGGTCGACGTCGTGGTGGCGGTCCGAACTTATCAGGTCTTCGTGATGGTGTGAAACGTCGTTTATTTGATCCCCACTCTGTTCCTACCAAACCTGATCCTAAGTTCGAGGTCAGCCGTTTGATACCTTCTCCGTCCCTAAGGTTACCATTAACTCATCTTTAAGCGATTCCAGCGCTAACAACAATCCAGACGTAGTAAAAGATGATATCGATAGTTTACAGATAAATTTGGTATGTATAAAATTGCTAGATCACTTCCATGTTCTTACATGTAATTGTAAAACCTCCAGTTGTTTGTCGGATGTAATATTTATGTTCACATATCAGAATGTATTCTGTCATTCGTGGAGTAGTTTGTTCTCGATACGTGAATTACTCATCTTTGGTTCCTAGTCTCATTGTTACATGGTTGTATGTTCCGTACCAACCTTAAAATAAATTTGTGCTCACAACTGTTATTCATGAGGAGATAGTCTTCAGTTATGTTAGCAAACAACAGTTCTCTTACCCTTTTGATGATTGCAGTTCGTAGTCAAAACTAATTAACAACCTTCCTTTCATTAGTATTGTATGATGGTTATGTTATGACCTGGGAACTGCCTATATTTTAATGTCAGAATGCTTAATTTCGGTGATGTAAACATTGGAAGGACTGATAACACCATGTGGGCTTTTATCATCATTGCTGAACTGCACGTATTATTCTTTGCTTAAGTAGTCCTTAAACATACGTATAAAGAATTAAAATGTCTTCAGATTCAGATGTCGGTTCTGGTTTAGCCCATCATTTTTAGATCAAAATTTATCATATAACACGAAGAAAACTATCTCTTAGTTTTATGAATATCTTAGTTCATAATTCAGGGTGACCATCCTCAGCAGTTCGTGTGTGCAAACTCTCAGATATTTGTGGTCGAGTGTGCTGTATATTTGCCATAGATTTAAAATCATTGGTCTGTTTAGACAGATTGGTTAGATACTGGATAATTTGGGAACTAGTTTTATACCTCCTCTTGATCGCCACTATTTATTTTAGGATTATAGGGTGAACTGGTTGATTTACTTAAGTTCTCATTGTACCCATTCGATTGAATCCATTGTAATTTGTTAGTGACCAATGACTTTTCAGCAGAGATGTATAAGGCTTGGATATCTTTTATGAGACATCCCAGTATATCAGTGAAGAACTGAATTTAGTGTAGAAGGGAAATTTGGCATCAGAATTAAAATGGATGAAAAAGTTACAAATAACTTGTTTAGTAATCATGAGAAGCTTGCTGAGTTCAGGGACGAACTAAATGAGAATGCTATCATCCACCAAAGAGATAACTGCTTGAAATCTATAGCAGTTGCACAGAGGTATCCGTATGGGATTTCAGTATATTTAGTAGATTTATATGCAGTAAAATCTTAGCTGCACTTAGTCTAATTGGTGCTTGGTTAGAATTTAACAGACGGTAGGACGTTAGGGAACGCTCACTGATTAATATAGCTCAAATGTGTCACTGCAGTAAACAAGTCATCGCAATGTAAAGGTAGTAGCTGTTTGTTGAGAATCAGTGATGTAATTAAATTATATGGCAATCCCTTTTAACTAATAAAAACACTCCTTGGAGAACACTTGATAGCATTTCAACTGATTTGCTACTTAAGTGAGATTAATTTATCAGTCCTGGCTTGGCATCAGTTCATTAAGTAATTAACATCTTATTTGAGTCTTAAGCAACGGCTCTAAATCTGTTGCAGTGTAGTATATACATATTTCCTTTATCTTGAAATCCTAGATCTTAATATTATTCTGTACCTCCTGTTTCTCGACTTTACTTACTATTTTCGAATAATCTTTCTACTGCCATTAAGGCTACCATTATTTCTACGTCTCATGCTAGTAGTTTCCTCTTCTACTGATCTAATGTAGTGCTTAAGCTATACTGATGCACATTTATGCTTGGTCAGTCATTCTTTACTGAATGACTAATTTGTATTTCGTAGTCCATCAGTTTAGGTCTACCTATGGAATGCGTAGTCAAGAAAATCAGTACATTAAGATTTCTGGTTTTAATCACACACTTTAACTATTCTCAGGGTTAGGGATGAACTAATTAAGTCTTCTACGATGATAAGACGCTGAATGTTCCATTGCCATGTAATAATAACGTACTCATGACCATCCATATACCTAAATCAATTTTTTTTAACTGCTCTCTTACTACGCAGACTATGAGAAACAGGAAAATGATTTGGTTCATCTGATTCTGTGGTTAGTTTGGTCAATGTTTATACTTTATTAAGCGCCTGATAGCAGTCGTATATATTTCGAGTTCGGTCATATTTTGTTAGGACCTTGTACTTTTGATACAGTTGTATCCTGAAATTGTTCTCTATGGTAGGGTTTTGTTGTGCATTATTTTAACATGTCGGAGGCTCTTTGCACAAATACGTCTGATTACGGTATGTAGCTACCTTTTTATCATCGTTAAAAAACCAAAAATAAAGTTAAAGTTAGTCAGTTACTCTATTACTTTTGATAGGCCGCTTTTCTGAGATAACTTTTAAAGAAGTGCTTTAGTGTTGTTTTATTACCCATATCCATTTGTTTTCGAATACGAGAATGATTTGATGTTGCCGTATGCTTGTACATATTCTTACCATTGTGTGACATGTTACTTAAGATCGACTCATGTACGCAGAACTAGAAACAATAACATTAGTGTAGATAGTGTACGTCTACAAAACATTGGTTTTCATATGGTAGAACCCACAATATCCAAGTACTAACGAAACTCTTCGATTTCCGTTACTAAGTGATCCATTTAACAGTTTGATCCCTTAACTCACTCCATACAGGGTCAATTCCCAATGCTCTCAACCACTGACAGTATTCGAATTCATCCATCTGTTTTGTACACATGACAGTCTACCAAACGGCTGTTTCAACTAGTCTAGTCAGTAGTTGTGGATGTTAATAATCGTTTTTTAAACACCTTTGGTGACAACCTTGTACTTCATATGTATATAAAAGGACACTTCTAAATATTGCTTTATGATTAGACTTTGATTACTTCTGTATCATAGTTCCTTATAAATTCAGCTAAAAACCCAAGACATACTTTGACCACATTTATAAATCTTCAAAAAAACCTCTGGAATTCCTTGTTAACTGAGGACTTTTTGTGTTGATTAGCTACGTAAATATCTCACTTAAAGTCGAGATTAAAAGTTAAAGAATAAGTGACTTTTAATTGCTAGAATTCTCTGACGTTTGTTTTCTAGGTAACTATACTCAAAGGTTTATGTATTGGTGAGACTTTAAGGAACAGAGCAAATTGTAACTAGAAATTAGTAAACGTTCCGTAGAAGTGTACGCATGTTTACTTGTGTAAGTACAATAATTTAGTTATAGCGAAACCTTCGGATTATAGATATATTTTATGATTGAAGTATACAGTGACAAATTCGATAATGCATTTTGAAGTATACTGTGTTATATAAAATTTTGTCTTATCCTGTTAATTTAGTTTGAAATAACGGCCAAAATGGAAGCTGCATTTCGTTCTGGTCCATTTTATCACTCAGTTCCAGAGCTATCAGAAGGAATCGATGTATCGTCTTTATTATCCAGTAACAGCTTAAATCTCAGAAAAAAATCACAAAATATGGTATCTCTTTTACATCTTCTGGTCTCTCATGAAATTAATCAGTGGTCTGATGAAGATATGAACATAAAAGAGCCTGAGGATTTGTAAGTTTTCTACTCATAAAACCTAACTGCGATTACACTGAAAATCTTGGTTATTTTTACCATGTCCTTATACTGTCAAATTGATAACGGAAAATTCCAAATACCAATAACAATAAGTGATATTTTTCGAGGTTAAGTTCTTGTTATAGCTTCATAGCACAGTGTTTGAAGCAAACGGTGTTGGGTTAGAGTCTCGCTGAACATATCTACATTTACTGGAATTCAGGTAACTTTAGCATTGGCTTGAAGGAAATGCAAACTCGAGATTGTACTGTGATAATTAATACTGAGCAAATCCTTGTCCATACTGAGTTAGTAACCAACGATTGGAATGTTCCACTTTATTTAGAAGTGTTTTCTTTCTAAAATTCACAAAGTTGCTGTAGCCAACTTGTGGCTTGAATATTATCTTTTCTGTTTGAACTTCGATGATGCATATATGAAACTTGATCCGTTATTCTCTCGTACTTACTCAGGAGTAGCTTAAGTATCATCAACAGTTGATTGACCTTTGAAAGTTATCAGTCATATAGTTCCGAACAAGATTTTGTTAATTAAGTTTGATCAATTGAAAGTGTAAGTCTGGTAGTTTATTTAAATTCTGGCGATTAATGGTGCTGCAATATGCTTTGTACGTTGAATACTAAGCTGTGACATAACTTTAGTTGTGTAGAAATTGTCAGTTAACTGCATAATTAGACCAGTATTTCGAACGAACTAAGGTTATTATTTTGTATTTAGCTGGAAAAAAACTACAAAATACGATCAATTCATCATATTCTGGGAATATTCGATAAAATCCTATTATTGTTTATTTTGGTTTGTTGTTTTGTTCCCACAGTCTTAATAATAATACATCTTGTGGTGCTCTGTTCCATTATTACTCTAAAATATCCTGAAAATAATAAAAACTGTAAAGCCTAGATGTCTATGAACTTTTTTGATATATATATATATATAATTGGTGAAATATAAACAAGTAGTATCTCGCTTACTTTTATCGTACGTATGTCGTTCTCTGACTTTGTTTATCTTCAGCTATCCCAAAGAACTGATTTCTCGAACCCGAATCAATTTAAAAAGTAATAGGCGTGCCACGCGAAAATCAAATTGGCTTCTCGACGTAGCAAGCAGAATTACTGCGATATTGATCAAGTTATAACTGACAATTTTATCCAACAAGTCACTGAAACTCTCCCGGAAAATGACGGTACGTTGTATCTTTGTTTATATAAAGCGATAAGTTTAGGTTGTTGCTAAAATAGGTTAGTTACACATTTTTCGGTTAGGATTATTCATTGTATGCTTCAAATTCTACATTCACTATATTCCAGAAGTTTTAATGAGTGGAAAAAATAACTTTAGAAATGATTTTGATCTTAATATTAACATCCAAAATGGCTATGTAGTACCGAAAGTGAAATGTGCTTACAATAAAAGAAATTCATTCTTTACCAGTCTTTAGGATTCAACTGTAGCCTCTTATATTTTTACTTGATAGTCAGTTCTGATTTTCGATAAAGTGACTTAATCAAAAAGCGTTAAACATGTGTTTTATTCTTTCCAGTATTCTGAAGTAGCACTATTAGTGCAGCTAAAAAGCTTGTAACTCATTTTCATTTACATCTGTTAGTCACTCAAATCACCTATAGAATGATTTCATCGCTGATACAAGACATCGATAACTGGAAAAATTATCAGGTAGTTTATACGAGTCGATAATTCTTGAATGTAGTCGTCCCTGCGACTACATCAACCAACGATGATCTCCCCTTTTCTTCAGTCCCAACTTTCGTAAAAGGAGTAGTCAAATTTTGAACAGAGGATTTATTTGAATCAATTAAGGAATTGACTTTGGAGACAGCTATCACATATCAATATACTTACAATATCTCTCGAAGTAGGACGAAACAGGACTTGTCAAAATATTAACGAACTAATTCTAATAGAAAAATCATCGACCGTTGGAATTATGAAGAGTGCGAGGCGTGAGGAATTTCATTTCACAAATTGATTCAAAATTGCCAGAAACAACAAAGTAGTTTGCATTGTAAGCAATTTTGGGAGAATCGGAGTATTCCCGGCAATTTATTTTTTAAAGCCCGTTTATAAAATATCTATAGATTTTTCTGGATGTAAACTGTTCACCATTTTCAGCTATCAAACCATCATTTTCTCCATAATTCCACCTCCAAGAATGCAGGTTTCCACTATTATTTGTTATTTCAGTTAAAAGGTATCTCTTAGTTAACTGAACTGCAGAGGTCACTTACTCTTATCTGTTACTACCTAGCACACTACGTGAGATTATTTCTTTGTTATATGACTCTATATATGTGTTATTAGATAGTCTGTAGTGATGAAATGACTCGGGACATTTAACTTCAAATACTAAGGGCATTAGGTGATAAATCACTCCTTAATTTACGACTCATAACGACCTCTGTTAGCATGAGACAGTTCTTCATTCTCTAGCTATTTTTGACTTGCTCATGTCCCAAATTCTGATTTCATATACCCAGCTTTGAGCCATACTTTAGTTGTTTGAGGCTAGCCCAAGGCGAAGTAGAAGAGCTGGTTAATCAGTTGATGAGGTTGTAAATCTTCAATGACTGGGATGGTTGGGCTTCGTGTTACGTATGCCTGAACACTGATTACCACGACGCGCAATGCTGACTAGTGTTGGTGGAAGTTGGGACAAAGTTAGGGGCGGCCGAAGGACAACGTGGCACCAGTCTGTGAAGTCACTAACTTCTAGTCCGAGCTATGTTAGTAGATGCAGACTACTTGGTTGTGGTCCACGTGACTATCGTAACCAATGGTGGAGACTGGATGATATTGCTCAGAATCGATCACAGTGGCGTCGGTGTATACACTATTTGTCCTCCTTTGAACTGTGAGATCAAAATTACTGTATAACTTTCTTTCTACGGACTAATTCTTTCTTCCTGTACTATATCCTTATACATAATCTTTCTTTTATATATTGTTACTATTGAAGTGACTACTATGAATTCGGTATTCACCTTGTTGTGCTAATGAGGTATAGCAACTTCGATCGATGCATATATGTGCCTGGTTCAAACCTTGTAGCTGACTGACTGATTGACTACTACCTACCGTGTGATAAACAAGTGCTTTAACTATTATGTTATGATTGGTCAGTTTAATTATAAGGTATTTTTATGATAATCATCCATAAATTTAAATAGTCAGACAACAGTATACAGGTTAGTAACCCCCCAAAAGTACAGAATGATATGTGACAAAAATAATGATGTCACCAAAAACGCTTATAAATATTATTATCGGGTAATACTATATAGTAATTGCTTCTAAACAATTCAGTAATATATATTAATCTTCTAAAATGTAACTATCCCATTTTCGGTTTTTGTCATCATTGTAGAAGATGTAGAGAAAATCGATGTAAATAATAGTGAAAATGAAGATGCAGATTCAGAAGATGCTCGGTGGAATGGTGATGTTAATCAAAATGATGAAATTGATGAACTTGATGATGATGAATTTGATAATGATTATTGTCAAGAATATTTCGACAATGGTGAAAAAGATTTTAGTGATGATGGTCTAGGTGGTGATGATGATGGAGGAGGTGCTAAATATTATGAATAACAAATTTCTTTAAAAAAGTTTTCTCTTTGTTTATATGAAACAATTTATTCTTTATATATAGATGCATGTAAAATAACACTACTTTCACATTGCATTATTTCCAAAAGGTCAATTATGATTGTATATTTCTAGATTTTTTCATATGTACCATTTGTAAAAATCAAAAGAGATTTTCAAGAAATTATACATTGACAAACTATCTATATGATTTTATTTTTTTAGTCACAACATGTCGTTATCGACTTGTATAACCTTAATATATACTAAGTACTTTCTAGTACATTTCCAAATGTGATGGTTTCAATATTGGTTTTTAAGGACTAAACATCAGTTAATGTGCTAATTTTAGCAACAGTTATGCAGTGAGTTTTGTGCTAGTTAAGAATTTTGTATTTCCAATTCACCTTTTATGCGATCACGTCCGGTACTTTAATACAACAAAATGCGCACTACTCTTTTTAGCCCGTATTTCAATTACATTACTTCAGTCCTAAATTATACCACTAGGACTGTATTTTTAAAACATTAGATATGATTCATTGTGATATGTGCACTTTATTTATTGTAAGTAAGGGACAAACTGAAATAAGTTATTTAGTGGTAATACTTGCATGATTGGTAATTTGGAATGAAGAATGTCGTCATAGGCTTTTCACAAAGAGTATGAGCGAAATTGATTCGGGACACACTTATAACAGTGAAACTGTTCATGAGTATTTATTAAAAATACTCATTATTTCACAGGAAACGAATATTTATATTTCAAAGAGGTTATTGTTGTCTCTGAACAATTGTTTTATGTTCAAATTTAGATATTGGCTTCACATATATAAAGCCGGTACTACTACTACTAATAATAATAATGATTATTTAAAAACATAAGCATTGGTACAAGAAGGCACCAAATACACATGCGCCACAAATCATCCGATTTGTATGATGACTGGAAAACTGTCCGGTAGCCCAAATCGAAGCAGGTTTCCATTCAAACGAAGTTTATAAAATGCTTCACATTCGTTTGCAATCAAATGTATTCTGAAAATATTTAATGTTTTTCAAATAAGTATAAAGCATACCTGTAAATATAATCAATTTCCTCTCAAACATGTTACTACTTCGTTCGATTGATGTTCTCTTATCAACTATGTACCAGTAAAATGTTACAATTGTATAAGCTGAACTTTATTAACGAAAACTTAGGGTAAAATCACAGTAAATAAGCGTATTCTTCTATTTCGAGATAATATAGCTGAAAATTTTATTTTCATGAAGGGGAATTAAGTTAACTACGCTTCCTATTCATAAATAAAATATTATTGCTTTTCTGTAACTAATGTTATGTTATTTTCAGTAGATTAATGTAGCCCAAAATACTCAATAGTTCTTTAGATTCATTATTTAGTATTTAAAATATAAAAAAGTGGAGATTAATTGTAATCGCATTTTAAAGGATATAAGTGACGATATTTCTAACTTGTGTATTCGTTTAGATACTTTGAATAAACTAGTTCAAAGTAAGTATGTTTAATTGGAGATGTAGACTTCCACGGAGAGTTGTCGAAAATATGTGTTTGAATTATATTTTTTAAACACTTAACTTGATTGATCAATCAATCTAACATCTTGAGTTACAGGCCCCCAAATGCCCTAGCACGGTCAAGAGTGGGGCGAGTCAGCTGTCCCTCTGGAAATGCTCTAACGTGGCCGCGTGCATACAACCACTGCCATAGAAGTCCTACTCACTACCTTCTCGTGGCATTACTGTTGTTTACCAAATTGAGAGGACAAGAAGCGAATGTCCGGCGCTTTAACCGGTTTTGTGGATATGGAGAATCCATCTTGAAGAGTTGGAAAACCCATATTCCAAACCAATGGTGCACATGGGCTCCAGGATCCTGAAGGAACAAATGGCGTATGAACCGATCGTTGGTCACTAGCTACCATGGGACTGCATTTCCTTACGTTGCTCCACTGCCTTATGAATTAGACCTTTAGGTCAAAGGCTCCGGGCGTGGCCCCCTAAGAAAACTACTTGTTTCGGTTTGGGCACCCGGGTAGTATCCCAGCTCTCACACAAATGGAATGATTTATATGACGCATATCTAATTGGTGCCTCGTACCAATGTTTATGTGTTTAGATAAATTCAGCTGTAGTTAGACATGTAGTTATTTGGCGAATCTGCACATTTTACTGCTTTTGATAACCAAACAGTATTTTACTGTTTTTATGTCTGTGCACCTAGGATAATTTTTACGTAATTGCAACAGCCTTATTTAGGTAGCCAATTAGAACAGTTTGAAAACGAAGATTATTATGATAATTAAAATTGTCTATTAATGTATAAACGACTGACTTGATAAATTCATTTTATGTTGTTTGTTTGAATTTTCCCATTGACATTTAAGAGCGTAACTGATCAGTCTCTTAAGACAATCCGCACAGGATGCACATATGCCAATAAGTCACAAACACAAGCTAGTTGCTATCAGGACTCAGTAGCTAAGTGGATAACGTGATGGCGTTCGGAGCGAACGATACTGCGTTCGAGTCCCAGAGTGAACAGTAACTCTGGTATGCAGGTACATCCGGCTGACGAGTTCCAAATAGGGCGAAATGCGCGTCCTGGATTCCACTGCTGGCCGTCATCCATCTTTGCTAATAATGATTAACTTGTTAATTATACGTTGGAAATTATGTATTTATTAAATATAGATTTCTACTATTTTATTTAAAATCTATTGAATCTAAAAATTAACACGCCATACATAAACAAATATGTGAATAAACGAAATACCTCAGCAGGTAATCATTAAATCAATGTTAAAACATAGACTAATGTAAAGAGATAAAATAAAATGGTCACTGCTATTAGTTAATGAATTAAATACTAAACAGAAATGATAATATCAGATAAATAATTATTCCTCTTTTAATAATGACTTGTAACATAATGAGATACTATGGTTTTCCTTATTCTAATCATTATTTTATGCCTTAAGTCAGTTTTCATAGATTCATTTTAATGTGACTGTGACAAATTTTTAACGTTTGTTAATTTTCTTGTTTTACTGTGTTCAGTGTATTTTCATTACTCCGACTGGCAGTACCAATTCCAATCTGTGAAACCTGGATTTTTGATACTATTGTATTTTGTAATCGCTCCTAAAAGAATACAAAAAAATAAATCCAATTAGTAGCCATGAATTCGATATGCTGTTATGAAGTGATCGGCTCAATTAGAGATATTGCCAAATATTAATGGATAAAATTATCTTATTACTACTTTGCTTTAATATGTAACTTACAACATATAGCTTAATGAATTCATACAATTATTTCTATTCTCAATGGGCAAAGGATAAAATAGTAAATACAAATAATTTTTGGTGAATAGTAATGGGCAATGTTTTCAAATTTGCACTAGCAGATCCTATTCATTAATTTATGCTTTTTTTCAGCTTTCATAATTGTTGGTTATGTTAAATCAGTGAGTAAAATCTTGTAGTAAGGAGTCATGTATAAGATGATGCCTTGATGCAGTATGTGATTCATCATGCATTATATTAGTTTTGTATAACTTTTCAGTAATAACATGCGTTTGTATTAATTGTCATAATTTCGTTAACTAATTTACATCAGTGAATCTGTCTATAAATTAGTCAATTCGAATATTGCATCTATCTTCTTTGGCCTTTATAGGATTCATTTTTCTTACAAGGTTTACATTTTGGAGTAGCCAGGAGAAAAAAATGGGTGGGTATCTAGGGCATCTCAAGATATCAATTTTTAAGAGGATCTTTTGTGATGTAAATGGATGCTCTCTATTTGTTTTTTTAGGAACTAACATTAAACTATTATAATCGTAGATAACACATTAAACTCGTGCACGTGGGAGTTTATAATTTTGTTTCTTGATAGGAACTGACTATATTACACAACATTAAGTTGGACCATTTACTAGAGGGCTAATGCTATAAACCATTACTGACAGATTAGTTTTGGCCAGAAAGAAGCTCGAAATCGTGAAATAGTTTCTACTCAGCTATGTGACATCCGAAAGTTCACAGTAATTTGTTGACAAAAGATGATACTCATCAATTGATAATCGCTATGGTATCGTCTATTTTTTTTAATATTAAACTATTTAGACACGAATCAAGTTTCCAAAGAAACTATACAGAGGATAAACTTCATGTGATCCGTAGTACTTCTTTTAGAAGCTAACTAATCATCAAATCAAGTACCATGTTGCTAAAAAATCTTAGATAATTATCCCTCATGCTCTGGGAGTAATTTAGTCAGATGATGAATTTCTTAACTAGATTTCTTAGCACGTATTTATCCGGGTTTATGGATGGAACGTATTACATCAGACAATTACAATAAATAGAAATCTATAAAATGGAGGGATTTGAATCCGAATCTCTAAGAATGGTGGTTTAGTTGGCGGCCAGTCAATCGTCAAGATTCAACTATCAATCTGATTTACTGTTATTAAACATGTGCTACTTTTATACAAGACAAGTGTGGTTGTAAAGCAATATGAACTGTGAATATTTTCAAATCAAACGCCACCTTGAAATTCTGGCTTCATTTTATCTAGTTGTACCATTGTCCTCACTGTATTTTCTAACCCTGTAGTTGATAAATAAATTTTGAGTCTCATATCTAGACAGTTACCTTTGAAGTTTTTTATTTGACTCATCTGGAGACTAATTCTAAGGTTTTATATATTTAAAAGAGTTCATGCTTTGTCACTCTGCTCACTACAGTTTTCAGATCCACCAACTCTCGGCTCTTTTTTTAAGCACAGAAAATCTATCGACAGTAATATTGTGGTCATAATTAATAATATATATTCAAATGGAACCAGTGAGTTATACGGTTGTTCTTCAGCTCCAATTTGCAAGTGTCTCTACGATTCAATGTCTAAATCATAACTAGATACTATTTCATTTGTTTATCTATTTTGAAAATCGATTTTCTGATTCGTATATCTAAAACTTATTTACAAATATATATATATATATATATATATATATATATATATACTCAGCTGTTAATGGTTTTCTCACATGAAGTACGAATTTTTATGAATATTTCACATCATTTTGTAAGATCTCCAAAATTATTAACCAACGGACGTTAAATACAGACACACACACACAAACGGAAATCATATTTATCAACTACCATTTCGTTAAGATACTTTCAATATCACTCAAGAAAATAAATATAAGACATTAGGTGGAAAAGAAAAAGAACTTAAGCTATAAACTGTAGTGATATATGCGTCAGTATCTTTTTGGATGACTATGAAAATTTCCTATGTTGAAATAGTTAGAATTGAGAAACGCTCTATTTCGGAAACAATTATTTTCTGAGTAGTTCATGCATGAAATATAACAGAGTATCAGAAACATTTATAGAATGAAATAGAACAAAACAAAATTCACTTCACTTCTATTAAATATGACTGGTTTATCTCATACCTTACATGTTTATTCAATTTCATTCTTGCTGGAAAATGTTGGAGTAAATTTTATCCACATTAAATATGAGAATAATGGAGATAGAGTTAATTACATATTTCATACTGAGAACCCATTACAGATTCTTATATGTAACTTGATATTTGTGTACAAGACCTGGCCTAAACTGAGTGAGTTGGTAATTTTTGGGAAGCTGGTGAAGATTGTCCGTTGCATAGTTTTAATCATATATTGACTTTAACTAGTGAAGTTTTGGAAACCAGAAAGCATTGACTTGCTGTATTGTGCTAGTACTAGATTCCTCAGTCGGAGATCGAACAGGTGCTTAGTACTAACTGATTTTCAATGGTTTTCTAGCTAAAGTTAATCTGTGATGTAAACTATAATCAGATGATTATTTGCTAGAGGTTTTTTGTGATCATTCAGTATTAAAGTCAGAAAGTTAGCTGTAGGGATTCTAAGGAAATTAATTAACATCTTGGTACTAACTAGGTAAATTAAACTATAGATATACACCAGTTACATTGGTCACTTTGAGGAACGTGTTGATCATATGGAATTATTGATCAGTTATATAAGAAAGAACTCGCAATTTTTTCCATCAGTTTTGTCTGTCCTTAAATAACTTTTGAACACTTTCTGATCATTCAGTGCCTTATTTTCATTCCAATGTTCTAAAAATCAACTGATCAGCTGAAAGGCATTGACCCGTGATAATACAAATCAATAATCAGCTACCTGACTAATCATCTCACGATAAACTACTGAGACTAAAAACTGAAGCCATACATTCTCTCACATTCACTGAGTGAAAGGAAATTAATTTTTTGTGAACCTTTGATCCTAATTTTATCACATCTTGCTGCTCACACTGCTTTTCAATTCTTAAAATGTTTGCGCTCATGTAAACTTCCACCTTCTCTTAAAAACCTTCGACGCATCACAAAATCTCACATAGAATCTACAAAGTTACTGGTTGAACGTTTGAGGACAGAAACTAATGCCTTTAATGAATTAGTTAACGGTATGAGTATCGTATGTCGCATAAAATTTATCCGTTTTATCCAGGCATTGCAAAACAAAATAAGCAAGAACTTCCGCGTAACTTTGTCCAAGACTCTATCAAAGGAACAACTTTGTTTTGGCTTCCCAGAAAACCCTGAAAATTCCCTCTACAATCTATCAGCAGTGAAGTTAAATCAGATAGAAACAGAAGCCTTGTCTCTTGGATTTAAATTTCATATCCCCAAAACACATGCCGGAAGAATCGACACAGAAACTCAATTTGAGAATTTATTTGATCAAATTAAAGAGTTGCACCCAGTTAGCAAGAAAAGAAAGGCTGGTTTAAATCTAAACTAGTCGATATCGCAAACCAATACCTCGTCTCACCCACACCGCAATCTAAGCTTTTATCCAAAGAACACCTAACAGCATTACGAAATATTAAACGAAATGATGATATAATGATATTACGGTCAGATAAAGGTTCAAGTGTTGTCCTAATGAACACAACAGATTATGTCTCTAAGATGAATTCCATTTTGAGTGACCACACGAGATTCAAGTTGGAAAAAAGTAACAAAGACTTAACTGACTCCACCGAGAAAAGAATCACGAAAGTACTCAGAGACCTACTGAAAAAGATGATCGACAATTCTACTTACAATAACCTACGACCTCGTGGGTCTCGTTTGCCCCACATATATGGTCTACCGAAAATACATAAACAAGATAATCCTCTTAGACCTATTATGTCAATGGTCAATTCACCATACCACAAAGTTGCAAGATGGCTGGCAGATAAATTAGAACCACTTCGTCAACGATTAGCCACTTATACACTGAAGGATTCATTTGTATTTGCTGATAGCATGAATCACATAAATATTGCTGGTAAGTTTATGGTTTCGTTTGATGTGACATCATTGTTTACAAAAATACCACTTCTTGAAACCATAGACATAATTTGTCAACATCCTGATATCCTACCTCTACCAGCAATAGAATTCAAACGACTATTACTCTTGTGTACAAAAGATGTTCAGTTCCAGTTCAACAATACTATATACCGACAAACCGATGGTGTAGCAATGGGAAGTCCGTTAGGCCCCGTCCTAGCAGACATTTTCATGGCTAACCTCGAAAGAACCAAGCTCAAAGGAGCGATTGATGAAATGATGTATTATTCGAGGTATGTTGATGATACATTCATCTTATGTAATAATCAACAACATGCAACAAATCTGTTAAAGTTTTTCAATGAAGCTCATCCAAATATTCATTTCACTATGGAACATGAAAAAGAAAACATGTTCCATTTCCTCGATATAGCGATAAAACGAAGAAAGGATGGCACAGTTCAACGCTCAGTTTATAAGAAAGACACATGGAATGGTATTTATCTCAATTTCAACAGCTTTTGTCCAATCAATTATAAAAAGGCACTTGTCAAAACACTGTTTCATAGAACAGAAAGAATATGTACTGCCGATACAATAGAAGAGGAAATTATGAATGTTAAAAAGTGTTTAAGAAATAACGGATACCCATTGAAATTCATTGAGAAATATGGAAAACGTGAAGATAAAATACCCAAAGAAACTACAGTAAATAAAAAACCTGTTTTTATTCAACTCAAGTTCAAAGGCGATAATGTCACAGGGTCAA